GGGGTGGAGGGGCAGGGGGCAGAAAGCTGCTGTGGGTCTGACTCTGGCCTCAACCCTACCCTCAAGGCCAGAGTTAAAGCTGCAGCAGCTGCCTGCTCCCACACCCCACTTTGTATGCAAGTCTAAAACAAGCCCCACTCCCCATCACCTGCTTACAGTCCCCCCTCTGTTGTCTACATTGGACAAATGGAGCGATCCCTACGTGGAAGGAGGAATAAACACGCATCTGACAAGCCTGTGGCAGAAACTTGAACCTTCCTGGACACTCCATTGTTGAGCCCAGAGTGGCTGTTCTTAGGTAATAAAACTTTCAAAATGAAGTTGAACAGGAAATTACAGAACAAGAAATAATCTAGACTGGATTGTGCAAACGGAGTGTGTGGATTCTTATCCCATTATCTGGATTAGCTTTTATAAATCCTGTGTCCCTCAATGGGTTAACTGGTTTGTTTTTCTCTCTTCTACCCACCTTGCCTCTCTTAGCTGCACCCTTTCTTCCCCCCACCTTCTCTACCCTTTGTATTCTAATCACTGCTTTCTATTTAGCAGCTATGCTTCCTGCTGTCTCTTCACAGCTTCTGATTAAGTACAGTAAGCCCTTCACTATACATCTCTGATCTAGTTAGTCTATAAAGGTGCACATTTACCCAGTGTTTTAGGCTGTAATATAAACAGAAATAACTCATTAACAGAAGGTTTGTAACACAGATACAGAAGGCCTCAAGTGGAGTACGGTGTCAGTGCCAGGAACTATACTTCAGGAAAGTTGCAGATATAAACTTAAGCATAAAAGCAATAAAGAAAAACAACAAAAATAAATTTAGAAAATATGACCCATGAGGAAAGGTTGAAGGAAATGGCTTTGTTTGATATAAAAAAAGAGAAGTCCAAAAGGACTCACAATAACAGTCCTCCAACATGTGAAAAGTTGCTATCAGGAGGACAGTCATTTATTTTTTAAGTGGTCAGTGGGGGAAAGATAAGGAAAAAATTAGCTTTACTTGCTGGAAATAAGATTTAGTATGGATATTAGGGGAAAAACTCCCTAACTGTTAGGTTTGTGAAACACAGCAATAGGCTTCCTAGATATACTGTGAATCTTCTTCAGTGCAAGATTTTAGAAACAGGTTGGACAAATATTTTTTGAGACTTGGTATACTTGATTCCATCTCATTGCAGGAGATTAGACTAGATGTTCTGCTGAGGTCCCCTAGAGCATTATGTTCTACATTACAATTGTTATTTTTAACCATACAGCTAAAGAATAGGTTTGAAACACTAAGCATTTATATTTTGAGATGTATCACTTACTACACAGCATATATGGTACAAAGCAGAGGAAAAAAAAGTGCATGTTCAAATTATGCTGAAAAGACAGTTAAATGATGAACCTATTTGTGTTGTATTATAAAAGGGTTATATAGTTCAATGACATGAATAAGGTAACAATGTTACTTTACTTGTATAACAAAATGTTGGCTCACTGAAAACAGACTTCCAAAAACACTGGAATGCATTTAATTGTAGGCACTAAATGCAGCCAGTTGCACCGAGCAAGGTATATTTAATTTTTGTCCTCTTTTTCTAGCATGCTAAAAATACATGCTTTTACAGTATACAATCAATGACATCTATTTTAAGTTTGTAAAGTTTTTGACAGATAGTTTGAGGAATCATCTCTGAGTAAAAGCTTACAAATAATTTAGAAGGGAGTCCAAAAAAAGCCCAGCTATTTTTGAAGATTTCAGTTAAATTAGGGCTACAGGCTATAGATAACTTAAGGACATTTCTAACAGTTGCCTTCTGTACCTTGCACAGAACATTCCTGACTTAATATTTTTAACTACTATCACCTAGTATAATATTACATAAAAAGACAGAAACTATATACTAATTCTACTGTGGCAACAGGGGCACTTTTAACACAAGAATTATCTACCATCAGCATCAATATTTTTGGTTTTTTTAAAAGCCATTTTGAAATAGTATCCCATTTTATCAACAAAAAGAATTCTTACCCTGCCACACACTTATAAGAGAATATTTAAATTTTAAGAAACTCAAGCACTTTGATTAGCTAATTAAATAGTTTGTTTTTCATTTGCTACCTCTGAAAGATCCCCATTTTTAACATGAATTTTTGCCATGCTGTCTAACCACGTCTTCCTCAGTTCAGGAGTGCTGGCATAGGACTTTGCCAAACTGTACTGAAGATCCACCAACATTTCTGGATCATTTTCATGCTCCTTCATTTGAGCTGTAGCCATTAATACTGTACGAATCCGCTTAGTCAAATCTTTGACATCAGATGGGAATGTAGTAAGCTAAAACATATAAGAATTTAAGAACTGTTTATTTTGTATTTCTTTCATAATCAATGCAACAGAATATTGGACAAGAAGCAAGCCCATTTTAGCCTTCCTATAGTATGAAAAAATAATCAGTACAAACCTTAATAATTCTGTCATTGTTGGCACAGTTGTTAATGATGGAAAGAGACTGCTGAAATCTAGTTCCTCCAATTCCAATAACATCAGCAATCAACTGGCTTACTGAAATAATTACCTTGACAAAGAAACATCTAGTAAATGCACATTTCACCAATCATCTTACAAGTAAATCTAGAATGTTATCATTAAGACTAACAATAAAAAGGATTTCTCTAAAAAGGGCATAACTTCAAATAGAAAAATATCAGAATTAACGACTCAGGATAGACAACTCAAATGTATTGCAAATGTCTTCTAAAATGTGAATTCTTTAGCCAGGAAACATTTCTAGCATTGGAACTGTATCATAGCCCCTGTCTACACAACTGTAAGTAATGCAGAAATTAAAAAAGCACTTTAAAAATATGTGTGGTACAGATCTAGTCTGTGGGCCTGATGGAGCCAACTTGGAATGGTCTAGCAGAGGACCTAGGCAGCAGCATCTGGCACCAGCTGGGCCATTCCCATGCAGCTGTATTGGGCCCACGGACTGGATCCAGACTGCAGACAAAGCTGGTACTGCTCATCTGGTCTGTGGGCCATAAAGGTCAGCACCACTGGTATAAAAGATTCAAAATTAGTTCAAAAAAGGATAATGGATTAAACAACAATTCAGGTAATTGGTCTTGCACAGCTTGTCTGAAGCTACATTAGAGACCATCAACCATTTGGAGGCTATACAACCCAAAGATCTGATATGCAAAAAGAGAAAACAAAACATAACATTTTACAATGGTTCTAACCTTAACAAGAAAATAGATTTTAAAAGCAATGATGGACAGAGGAGGAAATAATTATACTAACTTGCAGATGTGTTCTTACAAAAGACTTCTTCCCCGTGTAATCAAAGTTATTTCGCATTAAGAAATACAGCAGTTGTGAAGCCTCAGTACGAATTGAACTCAGTTTGGAGTTACAGCATTTCAAAATTTCATAACACAATGCAGCACACATGTCAGCTCTACCTTCATAAAATGTGGAAGGAAACTGAGGAAAGAACGACCCAGAGGGAAAAATATAAATCTTTTAAGTCTAACATCACTTCCTAATAAAATAAATGCTAAAGGTGGGAGGATTTTAATGAAACATGCTATAGTGCACAGCTGTTGAACTCATCTGTGCCCTGTGAGGCAGATGAGTGGCCCTGAAGTGGTTCATGGGGCAGATCCCACGGAACTGCTCCTACCCCTCCCCCCAACCCCTCCAGCACATGCAGCACTTGCTCTGGCTGGTCCAGAACTGCACCACACGTAGTGCCCACTCTGGCTACATAAGGACAAGAGCTGCATGCAGTGCCCACTTCCAGTGATCTGAGGCAGACAGTGCATGCAGTGCAGGTTGTGCAGTTGTTACTGTGCCACCATTTAATACTTGCTTTAGGAAGTACTAAATCATGGAGCAGTAATGACAGCATACAGTTATTTTTAGCAGCTATGTCACTATGGCAGCGCGCTATAGCGAGGTAGTTCATCATTACGGCGATGTAGCTTTGGTGTCATGGTTTGTGCCCACTGGCTTACACATTAAAGCTGTTTACAGAATAAAAGCATTAAAATGCCACTAAACAAAATTACTGATAGTAAATAAATTTACAAATACAAATTTGTACTCGGGTGAAAACGAGGTCTAAAGTGGGTGAAGGAAGTAAGGCCTCTGACTTTTAAAACACAATGATGATTCAATTTCAATTTGGGAAATAAGGAACTACTTCCTGAGTGGTAACTATGAAAAAACAAGTAACTGAAGATTGACTTTTTGTTTTAAAACTACTTACCTTAAAAATTAGTGTCCTTAAAGCACTAAAGACATTTTTTAATGAAGTTTCAGACTGGTTTTTTTGAAGGAAGCAGAGGTACACATCAAAAACCTTTTTCATTAGTGGATTATGCCCATGATCCGTCAGTAGCTGATTCTTAAAATTGACAATGACAATTTAATTATTTTATAACGGAAAATATCCAAAATATTTACAAATAATATAAAAAAGCTTGACTTCTTTTGAGCAAGCTATTCCAAAAATATTCACTTAAAGTGCTGTTTAAATGTATAAAGACTACACACATCAACTATTAATAATATACTTCTGTATCTTCAAAAAAATCTTTTGTTATCAAAGTTATAGCTCCTTAATAGAATTATAAAATGAAGATTATTTGTAACCAGTATTCAAGATGTCAGTTAATATTTTGTAAATATGTACTGAGCTATATGCAGCAGCCTTACAAATTTTAGTAAACATGTCAAGAGCGTAAAGTATGCTCTGGAGACTGGTCTTGCAGAGCATGACCTAACCCAACAGTGGGGAAAAAAGTTAGTTTATAGCTTTCCTCTATACATTCTCCCTCCCACATCATAAACATTTGTAAATATTTTCTTAGTCTCCTAAGAGCCCTTTCATGTTTAGAGCTCCATAATTTTGATTCACTCTAGTGATCAAAGTCTATAGAAGAAAAAATGACAAACGTAACCGCTGGCTAACATGAAGATCTGATACCACTTCAGGCATAGATACATACTCTGCTATTACAGCTAAGAGAACATTTTAGATTACACGAAGATCTGCAATGTATTCTGTAATACTGACTTGAATTACATTCTAATACTGGTGGTCCATGTTTCCTGTGCTTCTGCTTCACAAATCTAGCCCAACTGAGATGGTATTGATTTCTACTACTACTTCTACTACAGTTTAGGATTATTAGGATTAGAGTGCATATAAAAGAAGAACTCTTCATAAAAGTAATACCACTTGTCAGGTTTTTTTATATATGGGTGGACCAAAGATAATGGGATAGACGAAACTTTTTGTAATAGCTCACCCAAAACTGTCAGTGAGGTGTCATTCTTTAATACAGCATGCAAACTATCAAAAACAGAACAGACAATTTCTTCTGGTGGTACAGAAGGAAGTTTAAGGCCAAGGACATCCAAAGCTCATGGAACTATAACACCCCCAGGGCTACCATGTTTTCATCTGGTAAAGAAAGAATTTTCACTTGATACCCCAATTGGTTGTATTCTTTCCAAGCTGCAGGCTCTCCCTTCTCCTCCAATAATGCCAGGAACACTGGAAGAATGCTCTTTGAAGACCAGAGCAGTGGTTGGATCCAGGAAGCCTGGATGTAATAGATGATTTCTTCCCCTGACTTTAAGGAGACAAGGGCTGCTAATACGAGGGAAACTGTGGAACCTTGCTGCACATTAACAGGCCTTTCAGCCCATGGTAGAGCACATAAGTCATGCCAGCATCCAAATTCCAGTATCATCCTGTAGAGCCTATAGGGTAAATTCTCAAGAAACCAATCTGGTTAAACATAAAGTAGTGCCATACTGAGTCAGGCCACTGGCCCATCTGTCCCAGGGGCCCATCTCTGACAGCGGCAGTAGTGGATGCTTTCGAGGGAGAGCATATCTAACCCCTGTCATTCTCTCCCTAGCATTCACCATCTTTGGCTTAGATATGCTGGAGGATACAACCCTGATTGTTCTGTTTAATAATCATTAATGGATCTGTCATCCATGAATCTCTCTCATCTCTTTCTGAACCTGGCTATTCTATCTGCCTCTACAACTTTCTGTGGTAATTTGTTCCACAAATTAACTGTTAACATTGTATGCAAAGTGCTTAAAGCTGTCTTCTGTTCACTTCAGTGACTGTCCCTTAGATTTAGTATTCTGGGAGTTAGTGAGTAACATGTTTTTGTCCACAGCCTTTCCAGACCTCTATTATATATCCCAAACCTTCTCCTTTCTGAAGAGTCCTAGCCTTTTCAGTCTGCTGCTCCACAGCCCTGATGATCTTGGTTGCCCTTCTCTATACCTTTTTTAATTCTACTATATCCTTTGGTTCCATCCTGTAAATCTAACACCATTGAAAAAATGAGAGGACCTTTGACTTGGGTAAGATCTTAAAAGATAGGGTCACCTTGTTACATGAGCCCAAAGGTGTTCTTGGGGGTGCTAGGAAAAAAAAAAATGAAACAGCTTATTCAACCTTTTCCTTTTCTCAGGAGTAGGGATGTGAGAAACATAATTTGCAGGAGTTTAGTTAGTGTCATAGGTCCAGTATATCCAACCACATATTAGTGGTTAACTTTGAGTATTACAGTAACCAATGTTAACAACCATGATTTCAGCTCTGGAGCTCTCTCTAGATCCACTAATGTCCTTGAAATCTTGTAACTGACATTTAAGCAGATATTTACCCTATCAGCATTCAATTTTCCATTTAGAATCTAACTTGGCTCTGCCATTATTCTCTGACTATATCTGATAGCATAGAGAGTCTGATTGTGCAACAGTCCTGGAAATATACTCTACAGTCTAGACTGTAGTCTTCATTACAGTACTTTTTTTCAGACATGATGGGCACCTACACACGTGCCAGACATTTGCTCACATGGGGATGCCGAATAGACAGGACACAGAGGCTGCTGGAGCACACTAGTTAGCATGCTCCAGAGGACTTAATTAATCAAGTCTGCTAAAGTGTACCAATTAGTGTGCTCCAGCAGCTGCTGCGTCATGTCTATTCAGCATCCCTGCAGTTTAAAATGGCAGCAGGGGCACTTTAACCAAAGCTTGTCAAATGAGCTTTAGTTAAAGTGCTCCCACCACCATTTTGAAGTGCAGGATGCTGAATACATGTGACGCTTTGGATGCTTTCATTAGAGTAGTCAGCTCCCCCCACCTACTCCAGAGTATGTGTACAGACAGCCAATATGACCCCCCCCAAATATATGTACAGACCTCCAATATGACCAGAGCAATACAAATCTTGGTCTTGTATTTAGCCTCTTAGGCTCCTTCTACACGTTACAGATATCACACAGTTAACTGGTTAACTGCATAATTACCTTGAGACCAGCTACACGTGTAAAGTAGCCATCACATGATAAACAGCTCCAACCACCTATAAAGTTACACCTTTAAAATGTGTACCAACTTTATAGCTGGTTGCTATTGAGCTTTAATTTGCACATATAGCAGGGTCTCCACTGTGGCTCCCAGACACAGGGGTACAACCCCTGAGCCCTGGGGATCATGGCTGCCATGATCCTCAAGTCTCAGGAGTGCATTAAACCCTTGGGCCCATACAGGGCTCTGGGTCCTGGCTGTGCCTCACCCACAGTTGGGACCAAGAGTCCCACAGCTGACAGGGCTCTGGGTCCCAGCTGCAGCTCACCAACAGCCAGGACCTAGAGCCCTGCAGCTGACAGGGCTCTGGGTCCTGACTGCACCTAACAGGCAGCCAGGACACAGAGACCGCACAGCTGATGGGGGTCTGGGTCCCGGCTGCATCTCACAGACAGGTGGGACACAGAGCCCTGTCAGCTGTGGGGATTCTCAGTCCCGGCTGCACATGGCCCCCATGGCTGGGATCTCCCTCAGCAAAGAGGGCTCCAAGCCATGGGTGCCTGCTTCTTGCCAATGCAGGGGGAGCCCATGATTGGGCTCCCTCTACACCAGCAATAATCTATTGGATCTAATGTGCGATCCTGCAATCGTGCTTCCTGCCATGCATGTGTGGCACAGCAGGAAGCACAACTGTGTGGATCACACAGTAGATCCAATCACACTTTTACCTGCACACGTAGAGGGGGTATTAGCATTGTTATATCTCAGCAGTTTCATAAACAGAGCTTCATAAGGTAAAAAGGCCCCCGGTCTATTCTGACACTTCTTACCTACTCTTACCAAATATGGTATAGAAAGAATGTCTTAAAGGACAGAGTCCTTACAAAGAACTGACACAAATGTTTTATTCATGGAAGACCAGAAACTATGCAGATCTCTTAGCTCTGCTACATAACCAGTAGATAAAACAGTTTCTTGCAATTATACTAATACCACCCAAGCAAAAATATAGCCCCCCTTTCATGAAACTTGAGCAAACAAAGAGAGCACAAGTGCCAACTCGTTAATTATTCACACCAGGCATATTATTATTGGTTATTTTGTTTCCTAGAACTTGGAAAAAACTTCCGCCCAAAGGCAGAGAGAGAACTGCGTATACACTCAAGAAGGGAGATCTTGGAGCATTCCCAAGAGACACAGTTTGTAACCTGATCATTTACAAATATTATCTCTCCGCCTATGTATCTTTCAGACGTACCCCCGTTTTGCCAGCTCGTGTCGTCTTATCTTTTTCGCTTGTCTTATCTTTCGTACGTCCCTCTCGTCAAGAGCTCTCGGTAATCTGCAGACCGTAGTAATTTGTATAAACTGTTTGAAACCTGTACTCAGCAAGTCTGCAATCCACTGTAATCGCTGGGTGACAGAACAACTGCATGCTGTAACTAAGAAATCAACTGCTTCTGCCTACGCTGCAAGCCATCAGTAGCGTAAGTAAAATAAACTTTCTGTGTAACCAATGCGCATTAAACCATCTGACTATCTGACTCCTGCTCGCCATTAACACCTGCCTGTCC